GGTAGAATCCTAAGAAATCATTGATGGGATGATCTATGAAGTATCTAATAGGCTTGTAAAGAAAAGTCAAGTCCACTGATGATTGGTGATTACATCAAGGTTGCAATTTGGAGACCATGATTGGAGATGGGATATGACAAACTGCGGCCATCTTTCAGTTTGGCTGCTGCAACTTGATGTATTTGTCCTCGCAAGAGCATTTCTGCCGTCTTAGTTTCTTCTCTCAGAAAGTAGAGTTTAGATCGTATTTTTAAGTATTTAAGTATATATATATACAGTATATAAGTATGCATATATATATATATATATATGTAATATATACACATACATACATAATATGTACATACGGCTACATTGTCTGTTGCATCATTTGACCAGCTGCATGACTCGGCAGAATTGGAGGCTCGCGCCAGATTTGCGGAACGTCTGTGTCGAGAATGCTCACCTTGCAGTGCGGCAGCCTTACGTTCCTGGGCGTAGCCGGCGTAGCGTTCGAGTTTCACTGTGGTGGTCCACTCACCAAAATTCATGGGATTGTGTACATTAAAAAAATGATATCAATGGGAGATTAATGGAGACTGGTAAAAAGAACTAATTAAGTATGATTAATCCATATTAATCCCTTCCGCATAATGTTAAACACTCCCTGGAAACTCTGGTTATTGAGGGGGATTTACACATATTTGGGACCATAGAATGTGTGTCTTTAATATGAAACACGTAATATTCGGGGGATTGGAAGCCAGCAGTTTTGGTGTTTCGGCTTGATCCAGGGGTCAAAGATCCGCAGACGCACGAAGATGAGATCAGAAGTGAACAGCTCAAGAAATTTGGACATCTCCAGAGTTGCTTTTGATTTCTTTCCCATGTCCCTGAGATTGGTCTGATATTTTTTTTGAAGAGAAGTTGGTTCCCCCGAAGTTTCCCAACACTTTTTTTGTCCACGATGTCGTTTTGGGCCCAGATGTCGTCTCCGCGCTGTGTTCGCAGCTCTCTATGGCGCACCTTTCTACGGTGTCTTGGTGTTGCCATTGAGTCATTGAGTCTCAAGGCGTTCCGGCAATCGATGGCTTTTGCATGTTTTTATTACCCTCTGGTCAATAAACATAGACCCTGAAAATCACCAATTTTTAATGGAAACTAGTCTTCCAACCCCGATGACTGCCAGGGTCGAACTGTTAATTTACCAGAGGGTAATACATCTTGTTACACATCCCATGTCCATTATTTGTTGATAGTGATTGTCGCTACACACACCTCCATGTAGCTGGGGGATTTCCCCAGGAGGTTTTACTACCCTTTCTGTACATAGGATCATAATCCATTATGGCAAATCCATATAACCAACAACATATGGTTAGTGGATTATGAAAAGCCAAAGTATCACAATCCTTCAATTTATCGAATTACTAATAGTTTGGGCATCCAAAATTATCCTTTTAGCCAGCGTCCCAGGTCAGTTTTTCTGGGCCGCATTCCTATGCCCTTCCAGGTGTGGGCTGGGATTCAGTCACCGACCCGCTCTCTATTGGTTCTCATTTTTTTTTGTCACCAGCAAAAAGTTGTTGAATCTCCATTTTTACAGCCTAAGATCCAAGGTATGTTGCTTAAATCTCCTATTTTCGATGATCAAAATCCACCTTTTCTTGTACACAATGATTCCCACTCTGTTAGTGACTGCCAAGCTTAGCCAAATGGCCTCGCATCAGGTGGCTGTACCAAAGCGCGGATCCACTTGCGGAAAGAGAAGAAGGACAGTGGGTTTTCATAGTTCGAAGGACCTGGGTTTTCATACTTACCCTCTGGTTATTTAACATAGCCATGGAAAATCCCTTATAAATGGAGGTTTTAATGGGAAAATCATCTATAAATGGGCCATTTTCCATGGCTACGTTAAATAACCAGAGGGTACATAGAAGGAACTAGCATGAACTATTCCGCCAGCAGGATTCAACCAACAAGGATACTATGCCTGAATTCATCGGGGGCCTTTGGCGGACAAGCTGATGGGTTATTGATCAGTAGGGATGCACATTCATAGTTCTATATGGAAAGTGTTGTGAAGATCCGCGGGGGGAATATTGTCAGTGGCCCGTGTGGCGATGACCATGATTCATGGCGCATTTGATTGTTGGAGCTATGCAGGCAGGGCAGCAGAGAGACAGGTTTAGACATGAAAGGATCACTTTACCAAACAGTTGTCCCTTTGAGATTTTCATATCTACCCAAGAGGTCCTGATTGATGACTGGTCACATTTTCACCAAGAGGATCTGTTGCTGACCATCGAGCGGTCTGCCGCGCAATTTGAGTCTTTCTCCCTTCCAGAAGACGGAGAGGCGACGGAAGACACTGGAAGGATAAGAGTAAGTCCTTGAAGTCATGGTATGGAACGACAGCTTGGTATTGAACTGAGTTCAAATGTTTAGTAATGTGGGTATGTGGGTAAATCACTAATTTTGGAAATGGTGAACATACCACCTATAAAGAATGGTGATGACTGGGGGATGGTTTGTCATTGTTTTACCCACATTACATGGCATACCTTGTTTTTTTTTCCTCCAAGAATCACCTGACTGTGGAGCCGCCGGTGAGGTGAGGGACTGTCATAAGAGCTCCTTCATCAACGAGTCGGCTGAACTGCGGCTGCTTTGTTCCGATGAAGGTTGGGATCGGAAGGGATCTGGGGATCGGACGGACGAGTCAGCCAGATTGATGATGGCATCCTGTCTCATCAATGGATTACGAATCGCAAAAAGTCAGGCTTATTAATAGATTAATCAATGGCTATAGGGTACTGATTGATGGATGTTAATGGATGCTTAAGAACTATTGGTATCTGTACATTAGTCAACCCCCTATGGCTCATCAACCCACGAGACATCAAACCACAAGGTGGTGCCCCCCTCAGTTTTAAGTTGGTTTATGAAGCCCATCAACTATAGACATATCTACCATAAACCATAGTTAATTCACTTACTTATCTTAATTAGTTCAATATATCTTCCATAAACCATATTTATTTCATTTACTTATGTTAACTAGTTCGATATATCTACCATAAAGATCACAAAACCATAGTTAATTCACCTAGGCAAATCTTCAACAAAGACGATTTCGACAACGGGGGGACCATCACCTTGCCCTTGCGCGGCCCTTTTTGTTGGTGTTCGCAGGTGTTCTCATCGACTTGTTGGACGCTCGGGAGGCCATTTTGCTGTGCTTCCCCGACCAGCGCGTGGTGGTGCACGATGGCTTGCCACTGAACTTTGCCTCGCCACCTGCTGGCTTGTCCACCTGTGGCGCGGCAGTTGTGGAGTTCTGGAGGTGACAAAAAATCGATTGCAAAAACCATGCTATAAGACCACCCATGACTGGGAATGATTTATAGCACCTTATGGTGAAATTGAGGATGGTTTATTGTTGTTTTACCAACATTATTGCTATAACTTGTATTTGAACCATGTTGGAACCCAGTGCAATTGGGATATTTGTCGATTATAAAGAGGACATTAACCCCTGGGATTTTAACCGGTTACACATGATGTTTTTTTGCCCGCAGGATAAATATTGATTGAATCCATTGCAAGGAATGTCAGATATCGGTTGGGAAGGTGACGAGCAGCCCACTGCTGCCAAGGCGACCTTCCGCGCGCGCTGCTGCGGCATTTGCTGTCAATGTTGCTATCCAAATCCAAAGTTGCTTAGAGAAAAGCGTCACGCCCGGCGGGTTGTGCGACCTTGCCCCAAACAATTGTGGTGAAATTAGATGGTTGATGTCCACTTCAAGGAAATACCGTGAACTTTGAGGAAGCAACCAAGTTGTTGCCACAGTCACTTTTCTTTCTTCCTTTGGTTTATTATGCTTTAAACATTTTTTGGTTGGTGAATATCTGAGTTTCTACGTAGACTTGTGGAACATGGGATTCAGAGGAAAAAACATCTTGGGTTAATCCAATAAATCCCTAGTCTTGATGGTCAAAAAACCTGTGTTTTGGCTGGTAAAAAATTGATGAATCTCCCATTCCTGAGTATCTCCACCATGTGTTTCTTCACTTTCGATGGGTTTTTTGATTGCTGAAAAACCATTCTTTGCTGACGAAATCCTCATTTTCATCGCGAAATCCCCTAAAATTGGCCGGTTAATGATGAAAGCCCCAATTTCTGAGTATTTCCATGAGATGATTGAATGTATTGCTTGACTTTACAGCTGTTTTTTCTCCAATGAATCCCAGCTTTTGATGGTGAATGCTAGTGCATCGCAAGGTGATGCTCCCAGCTGCGCAGGTCGCGCATGGCCTGGAGAAAGTTATGGAGAGACCGGGACTGAACGAGGCGGCACGGCGGCAGGGCAGATATCACGATATCGGGTTTTAATTCAGGGGAATGATCGCACCATAGGTTTTAAGGGAAATGGATGAAATGGCAGATATCATGTTTTTTTTCTTAGACGCAGTAAACAAGTTTCAGCGTCCAAGTGTTTTTTTTTGGGTTTGGGATTGATGGGATGAATCCCGATGTGTCTCTGGGTTCCTCCAGCTTGCTGGGGTATATACAGTATACCTCGGAATGACAGTTTGAATGGAAAGATAGACCAAACATGAGATTATGGGTAGACAAACCAACAAGTTCCTTTTTTTTGACACCCAACATAAAAATGGGTTTTCACCGACACATGGGGATTGCAACTGACCTGGCTTTGGATGAAAGCAGATGGTTCCCGGTGAAGTTGGGAAGCGGTCGTAGCCAAAGGGGTCGTGAGGATCCCGGTGGATACCCTGCGACCTCTTGGAATGCCGTAGCTTTCCAAGTGGATCCAGGACAACTTCAATGCAATGCGACTGGTTGTGAGGCAACACGTGTGGTGGTCCAGAAGCTTGAAACAAGAAAGTCATACCTAGAACTCGGAGACCATGTCTGGTCAGGTTTCTTTAGAAGCTATACTCATAGAAAACAAACATAGACAGAAAACTGACGCAGACAACTTCTGCGGCTTTCCAGCTGGTTTAGGCCAGAGCCTGAGCAGATTGCTGGTATGCAACGTTCGATGTCGCCATGGCGATGCAAGGCGTCGCCAGCCATCCCATCGACCAAAGGTTTACAGTGACCGGATTGACTAATGGCAGATCTGTCGGTCGCAGATGGCAGTCCAAGTCAAAAGTTGGCAATTCCCTCGGCATCGCAGCTGCACCCTTCTTTTTGACTTCCCTCCGCCCCGCGAGACACCGCGCGAGACACCGCGCGCCCCGATGCCGCCGTTGCGCCGTGCAGTTTCTGGTGGGCCCTGAGGCCGAGACCGAAGGTCCATCGGATGTGAAGCTGGGGAAGTTGCTCAGCTGGGCACGGCAGCAGGATTTCATGAAGCTACACCCCTGCTTGAGCTTTGGAAAATCTGGTGGACTGCAGCTGTCTGTTCCAGTCTCTGCTGGCACGCCCATCCTGGGCGTTTTGGACGACGCGTTTCTGACGAGCTCCGACCTGCCGGAGCAATGGCAGGAGGTGTGGGATGGAGCCCGGGAACGATATCCAGAGTGGTGGGCGTTGCATCTGGGCATCACCTTACTGAAAGAGCGCCGTGATCCATCTTCAGATGCTTGGGAAGCGTACCAGAATAGTGCCTTGGTATGAAGACTTTGCTGATTGTCAAGCTGATCTTGAACCATCTGCAACCAATGTGGCAACAAAATTGAGTTTTACTGAACTGTAGCTGTTGGTTTACAGTCACAATTCCATCAGTCCGCGGCCTCAAAACCATGGGATTCCTGAGTGAAAACGGACCAGACATTTAGATCATTTTGGGAACGGGACACCATGGCTGGTTTCCATGCCGTTTTCTTCGCTGAAACTTCTCAATATTGGTCAATTTACATCTATCATCATCTATCAACATAAAAGTCTAAAGATGATTCTCCCATGCTTTTCATGACTTTTCCATGGAAAGTTGCTGCTTTGAGGGGTCTTTGGAAGAACAACTCCTTTGGCGCCTGGCCAAGGTGTAGCACCGCAGCCAGCAGCTCCGTTGCTGTGGAGCGCCGCCCAAGCCCAAGAGCTGCGTCTTGGATTACTGGGCTGATGGAACGATCGTCCTGTTTTTGGAATGAAGATCCATTTAAATTTATCTGATTTTTGAGTATTCACCAGGGTACAGATTGAGAAATCCAAATGGAATTGAGCAAAAGGCTCAGTTGGGTGGGGCTATCTGTATGGATACCGGAGCTAGGGGTCAAAATTTGCTTCATCATGATCATACCAATACGAGCTGTATTGCGGGTCAAGGGTCAAATCGGTCAAATCGGTCAAATCGGTCAAATCGGTCAAATCGGTCAAATCGGTCAAATCGGTCAAATCGGTCAAGTCGGTCAAATCGGTCAAATCGGTCAAATCGGTCAAATCGGTCAAATCGGTCAAAGTCCTGGTGTTTCACGCATTTATTTTGGCAACTTAAACCACCATGGTTTCCTGCTGATACTTCATGGATAGATGGAGGGAAGCCATCCATCAGTTGCGACCAAGGCAGTACGTTCCCATGAAGAAGCAGCTGCGAAGTCGGATTGAGGCCATCCAAGAGTTCTACCAGGAGATCCTAGTGCCAGCACCTTGGTGCCCTTGGTGATGTTTGTTGGTTTAGTTTCACTCTTTCACCCCATTTACCATAGATTCAATGGCCATTTCAGGAACCTAAATTGGAGGTACCTACCATATATAAGCAGGTACCTACCATATATAAGCCCTATGTAAGGCCTATGTAAGGGGATATACCCCCAAATATGGCCTTATATGGTACAGTACCTCCATTCTAGGATCCTGGAATTCCCATTGATAGATATATCTACCTTAAAGATCCATGAAGAATAGTTAAGCTAGTTACTACCCATCAAGCATCTGCGCTTTCAGAAATCGCTCAAGTTGATGGCAAGGAATCACAATGCGGACTTTTGCTCTTATTTAGCTGTCATTTGCTACCGATTTTCAGCTTCTGCTGCTTCTACCCTCCGACAATCAAACATGGCCTGCCGGAAAATCCAGATATTTCTAGATGATTTTCCCTTCGAACTATCCTGCATGGCTATTTCCGGAAGTTGCAATCGCCATGTTTTATTATCATTTTATATTCACTTCTATCCCAATATTTTAGATTCTTGAAGGTCCTACTACATGATTATCATATATTATAATCATCAACAAACAGGAGTTTGCAACTGCAAAGCTATAAAAAATCGATGGATTTCCCCAGCGAAGCTGGTCACCTCCATGGCTTGTCCCAGGTGTTGGGTGAAGTCCCTGGGCTTCCTTCGGTCTTTGAGCTGGCGCAAGCAGTGGCCACAGCCAGGCGAGCTATTGAGGTGGGGCGTGGTTCTTTTTTCGTGATTTTGGATGGGAAAAACTCGGAAAAGCCATGGAAAAACTGGGGGAACCCCATGATTTTGCATGAACTTCAAATTCATGAATTGGTCAAGTGAATCTGGGATAGTCGAATAGCTGGTCGATACTCAAATGGATCACCGGAACCCACGCGAAAAACGATCAAAAGATGTGGGGGATCGGTGGTCTGGCAAATAGCGGATATGGACATAGTCCCAAGAACCTTCGAGATGGTTTTGATTGATTGGCCTGGAAAATGATCCACTCTTCTGTGGTGTTATCATCTTTTAAACTCACATAAACTCACACTCGCAGATTCTCAGTTTTTCCCCAACAGCCTAAGCTAATGGGGTCTTCAGCCCAGAATAGCTCCGGTGTGCACTGATGCAGGCGCCCGGTCAGGTTCAACAAGGTTGGAGAAGGTTCCGAAGGTTCCGGAGAAGGTCTGGGAGGCTTTGGTGCAGAGACAGGTCAGGTTCAACAGGGTTCCGGAGAAGGTTCCGGAGAAGGTTCCGCGAGGCTTTGGTGCAGAGGCGGGTCAGGTTCAACAGGGTTCCGGAGAAGGTTCCGGAGAAGGTTCCGCGAGGCATTGGTGCAGAGGCGGGTCAGGTTCAACAGGGTTCCGGAGAAGGTTCCCGAGAAGGTCTGGGAGGCTTTGGTGCAGAGCCAGGTCACGTTCAACAGGTTCCGGAGAACGGAGAAGGTTCCGGGAGGCTTTGGCAGAGCCAGGTCAGGTTCAACAGGGTTCCGGAGAAGGTTCCGAAGGTTCCGGAGAAGGTCTGGGAGGCTTTGGTGCGAGCCAGGTCAGGTTCAACAGGTTCAACAGAGTTCCGAAGTTTCCGGAGAAGGTTCTGGAGAAGCTCTTAGGAAGCATTGGTGAAAAGCCAAGTCAGGTCCAACGGGTTCCCGGAGAAGGTTTTGGGAATCTTTGGTGCAGGGCTAGGTCAGGTTCCAACAGGTTCAACAGGGTTTCCAGCGCTTGGCTTCGCGGCACGCTTCAGAAAGATCAGCACGCTTCAGAAAGATTTGTAAGAAGAAAACGTTGCGGCTGTTGGGGATACCACCGAAGCTTATTTTTTTTGGGATGAAACGCGCGCTTTCCACATTTTTTTTGGCGCCTCCGCAGCCGGTTTTTCCCATGGCAGGTTTCACCGGGCCAAAGGGCCTTGCTGCCGTTGCTAGACATGGTGGGGTCACCGGAGGCCCGGACGGATGTTACCCTCTGGTAATCTAAAGTAGATATGAAAATCACCATTTCTAATGGGTAAATCGTCATATTTATCATCAATTTCAAGGGGCCATGTCTTCCATAGATATGGATTATGATATATTTTTTCACCAGAAGGTAAATTAATATTTAGAATTAGTAGTGGTTATAATTGTGTTATTGTTATTGTTGTTGTCGTTATTACGAAAAATATCATGCATGTAAGATATGCAAGTTGTAGTCAGATGTCGTAAGGGGATATCACATTGAATGATGACCTGTGAACCCTCCAAGATACGTACGAGTTCACTAAGACTAAGGCCCACGTACCAACCATGTGATGCGACGTGAGGCCACGGTACCTGCTGGAAAGCCAACGCCGGAGGCTAACTGTGAGTTACAAGTGGAACCTGAGGGAGGTGCGCCAATGGGTGTTCAGCTGCCATCAGGGGCATGGGGCGCCGCATTTTTCCTGTAAATAATGGCTTTTGTCACATGTCCATGTGCATTTCGATTGCGCAGGCTCGCACACAGTGTGTGTCGCGGTCATGGGGCGCGGCATTTGTCCAGTCAATTTCTGCATAAACGGCTTTTGTGGCATGTCCATGTGCATTTCGACTGCGCAAAGCGTGTGTCGCATCCTGGGGCGCGGCATTTTGCCTGCAAATGTCAGCATAACATGCATATGTATTTCGACTGCGCAGGCTCGCACAAAGTGTCCTCCTCCACATCATTATCCTCAACATCATCATCATCTTCCTCCTCCTCCTCAACATAATCCTTCTCAACATAATCCTTCTCAACATCATCAAATTCCTGTCATCCTCCTCAACATCATCATCCCCCACCTCATCTTCTGCAACATCATCATCCTCCACCTTATCACCCTCCACTTCATCTTCAGCATTATCATCCTAATCCTCATCCTCCTCAACGCCATCATCCTCAACCTCATCCTCCACCTCATTATCCTCAACACCATCATCCTGCACCTCATCATCCTCAACATCATCATCCTCAACCTCATCGTCCGCAACGTTCTCATCCTCCTCATCACCATCATCATCATGATCATCCTCAACATTATCATACAGTATCCTCACACACACAGACACACTCTTTGGGGTCTCTTGCCGGTATATTTTTTTGAAATTTATTCAATCTCAATCCGCATTTTGAAGATTGAACCGCCACATATACAAATGTTTGCAAATGTAAATTAAGAAATACTATATTATATAAATAAATACAAAATAAGTAAATAGGTAAATAAGTAAATAGATATAAATAAATAGATTAAATAAGTATATATATATATGGTTATCTAGATCCCACCTATTATGTCCGCATTATATCCGGACTATGTCCCATTATAGATTTTTTTTATTTGTGATGCTTAAAACACAAATTTGATGGTTTAAAAACTATTTTTGTTGCTTAAATTGCCCTTTTGTTGGTTATATCTATCATTATTTTTGTTGATTAAATCGCAATTTTCGCTGGTTAAACCATTATTTTTGTTGATTGAACACAATTGTTTGATGGTTAAATCACGGTTTTGGTTGTTAACATTTTTCTTCCTTAAATCTGTAAAAAAACAGATCCACCCGTGTTGCTGCTTCCAGGCCCCGGCGGTCGGGCCATCGCTATCCTCGTGGCAAAACGCGATGTGCAGCCGGGCGAGACGCTCAGCCGGGCGATCCTCGGGCTGGCGCCGGATGAAGTGCTGCTGGAGCATGGCTGGTGCAGCACCAGGCGTGGAAAAAACGGAAATTCGGAAAATTTGGATATATCCGAATATATATACATTATATATATAGATATACACATATCATATAAATATATACATATTATATATATTTTTTAATATATGTATATATATATACATATTATATATATATACATATTATATATATATATACACATATCATATATATACACATATTATATAAATACACATACATTTATACAATTATACAATTATACATTTATACACTTATACATTTATACATTTATACATATACATACATACATATATAATTATATATATATATACATAAATCAACTAAAAGGGGGAAAAACATGGTTTTGATCCAAATGGGGAAACATGTGGATTGATCCAAAAAAATTGGAGGTGAAACCCAGGCTGGCCAAGTTCATGGGGAAAACGAGACAACGAAACATGGGTGTTGTACCTAGATTTCAGACAAACCCAGATGGAACACATTCGAAGGTACAACTGGGTTATTGGATATGAAGGGATGATTAAAACCTTGGATATGTTTAAACATTTAAACATAATGTACACCTAGAAAAAATCGAAGGTCTGCATTATTGGGATAGAATCATATGGAACAACAATGAACAAATTGAATGATTTTGATGTGGGGCAACTTGGAATTATGAACATCTCAGGATGGTGAAATTATGGGATTTATGGGATTTATCCACTGGGATGATGGTGAGTTGATCTGAAACCAGTGGACCAAGAAATGTTGCCATCTCTCACTCAGATCCACCATCCACTTGTTGGTCAGTAAAATGTCCGCCGGGACCCACCATGCCACCGGGACATCAAGGGACCCACGATGTTGGGGACCTGAAACATCACCTGGACCGAGGCCTGATGATGTGACCATCCATGTGGGTCTGAAGAAGGCTGTGGTGGAGTCGTGGCAACTTGCCACTCTACGACACCCGGCCAGGAAGACTGGGATGAAAATGACATGAGAAGACAGCTGAAGATTCTAAGAACAGAAAGCCTGGTTTCAGGTGTCAGGAGATACTGTACATGCTGTGTTTCACACATTTTCTTTTGGGGAGTTGGACAATTCTTAAAGATCTGAGATACTTTCATGGATTCTAATGTTTTTTTTTGTTTTTTTCTGAGAAACGGGGGTCTCATGGGGATTTCTTCGCCATCGATTTTTCAGGAGAGGTCATGGACTTGGAGCCGGGCGACTCGCCTGGTGACTGGATGGCCTCGGCCAAGGTTCGCAGGACTGTCCAGACGGTCCGGTTTTTTGGAGATGGCTGGAGAGGAGGAAACATATCATTTTTGGGGGGGTTCTGGAAGGTGTGTTTTAGAGGCGCTTGATGAGTTTTGCTTTTGACATCGCATTTGATGGTTTAAATTAATTACATCGTTTTCCCTACACATATGGCTTGATTGTCTGAGCTGGAACAGGGGTGCTGCCACAGAATATCTGTGAGGAGTTCCGTGCTAACGCAGGCGGTGGATGCCAAACTGATTGCAGCTGCAAGTCACTTAGGCTGCAGGATACATGGCCTCAGGATTCGGCCGTTCCCATGGCTCACGTGATTTTTTTTCGAATGGGGAAACAAGGCCCGGGAAATCCATTGTGAATGGGTTTAGTGCATACACCCATTTTCATTTGGATGGGTTGTCTTTAGGTCCACTCAGTATTGTGTGGTTGTACCGAAATCGGAATAGCTGAGATGCCCAGCCCAGGAGTTTTGAGTGCCAAGTCTCGCGAGGAGGTCTTGGGTGCAGTGGCTTGTCTGTTTCAGATCCAAGTTTTTCACAACGTGTAGCAGTCGTGGCTGGAATCTGCCACGGTGCGTAGTTTTGAAGCAGATTGAATCAATCCAAGTATGATGCGGGTATGTCCCCAAGACTGTTCTGACTCCCAAAAGCTACCACGTGATGGTCTATTTAGTTGGGAGAAAACTACGCGTCTCCATTTTGCGGGCATGCTCATGACTTGGGGGGTGTATCAGGAGTGGAACTTGATGACCAAAGACGAGATTCTCAATGCTGGTTTTGAAGGCCGCGCCCGTCAAGAAAGATTACCAGCGAAACCTTCAGGGGTCGCAACAGAGCAAAACCTCTGTCTGTCCAATGTATTCGCAGCACGATGGGATGGATGACCATATCCCGTTGTTATGAAACAAAAATATTACTCCCATGGAACTTGACCATGGCGCACATGAGAAACTGGGATATGAATGGATATGATATTGTTGTTTCGGGATGATGCTCTCACGAAGTAGCAGTCCACGCCTCAAAGTTGTTTTCCTCGTTGCACGTGTGTCGTGCCTGTGCTGACTCAAGGCGCCTAACGCCCAGATCCGAAATGGGCAATGGAAAATGTAATGTTGGACATGTTGTCCCACCTGGCAAATGGTGCAAGTGAAAAGGGTCACATGTTGTGACTGAATGGATTGTCGTGTCAATGCAATCTGACACGGAAAGGAAAGTCAAAAATTTGAGTCTAATGCCATGGCCGCTCATGTGTGCTTTTCCTTCTTCTTTAATCTCTTTCATCCAGTGCGCTTCGGTGGTTCCACGCACCCCATGAATTTTCTCCAGCCAAAATGCTGAAACCATGATGCACGCTTTTCCATGTGCATCTCGTTTGAATGATCTTGTCACGCAGTTTGCCCTGCATGATTCGCTCTGCCACTTCTCGTTGTTGATCTTCCTGCGTTTCACGTAAATGCTCAGCAAAACCAGTCAGAAAGCCTCGCAGAAACTTTCCATCACTGAAATTGCAAAGACGATGCCATGTCTTCATTTTGGATTCGCTCACTGGTTGTCCGCTGCGATCTCTTTGAAGAAAACGCTCAGCACGCACATCGCTAGCAGTGTTTGCATACCACCAGTCTCGTGCTCGATGACCAAACTTTCCAGCCAAAATGCCGGAAGACAGTGTGCGCCACATCTCCTGATCAGGCTCATTCAGAACCTCGTCATACGTTGTGCGCCATAGACCTTCATCAGGAATCGGCACGCCATGGCTCGGCCGGGCGTAGTTCTCTTCAAACAAAAAGATCTCTTCAAGGGCCATGTCATACGCATGAAGGCGGACATTCGCCTGAACTGCCTTGGTTTCAAAAGTGATGTCATTTTCAAAAGCTGCAATGTTCTCAGACGCTGGGACATTCAGTTGCAACCTGACATACTCATAAATGCGCTCACTGACATGGATGAACTTGAAAAACACCTGCGCAAAGAAGAAAATGACTGCAAACGCTGTGAAAACATGCCACCATGTATTTGCTTTCAAAACATCATCTCCAAACATGTGTGCTTCAGCTTGACTCGCATTCTCCACAGCCAAAATTGAAATTGCCAGTTTGGCACTTTTGCTCCATTCATCGGACCATCCAAACTTCCGATGATGACTCAAATAAAAATGCCTTCTGCTGCAAAACTTGTGGTGAGGTTCGGACGAGTCAATCTTTTTCCTGCATCCGCGCAACTGACAAAGGTCGGCGGACTTGTTTTCATCATCAAAATCCGTCAGCCCAAAAACTTGTTCAGTTGCCACTTGTTGAAGATGTCTCTCCTGCGCGTCTTTGTCTTTCTGTGCCACTTTCTTTGCTGCCACAAAATTTGGGTCAAACTTGAGCTGATGGTTCCCTCGCTGAAGGATCTCTGCGAAACGATCTTTGGCAGATGGTTTGGTAAGTCCATCCGCAACTTGCTGATGTGAGTTCAGCCACTTCCATTCTGCTTGCATCACTTTCACCCTCTCGGCCACAATCGCCACTTCGATGGCTATTCGACGTTCAGTGAGATGCATGCCTGAGGTAATGGACTTTGAAGCGTCGAAGAGAGACTTCGCATCAGTCAGGACATAGGAGAGGCCGCTGTGACAAAGTGTCTCGTCGGTCTCAATGCTCAAAGTGGGATTGACCATGGTGCTCCAAAAATCTTTGCACCATTCCAATTCGTCCACTGCTGCTGCTGATGCCTGTGCCTCTGCTGACAGTGACGAGCGACACATCCTCACAAGTTTCTTGGAGTGCCAATCTATGATCGTCATGTTGAAAGGGGCACCACTTCTCAGTTCACTTTCACTGGCTGCAAAAATGAGAAAACCACCTTGACTGCTGCCGTCTGGTCGCACCGACCATGCTGCATCAGTGTACACCGAAAACTTCACTTCCTCAAGTCGATCTGAATGTTGGTACAGTTTCATCTTGTAGTCCTGCGACACATTCTTGGCAAAGCGTAAAGCTTTGTTTGCTTCCAAAAGATCTTTGATTTGAGGCTTTGCCACTGAAGCTTGAAGGATGCTCACTGATGCTGACAGCTGGGGCAAACATTGGTTCGCAGGCCAAGCTAAAGCGCCCACCAAGGCTCGCAATCCCCTCTGTTCCTTCTCATCACAAGGGTCGTTGACCATGGTCTTGCGTGTCTTTTCGACAGTCAGAGGGTGGACCTTCTTGACATACTCCTTCATGGAGATGCTGATGCAGTCGTTGTTGAGTGACTGCTCCACACTGGCTCCACAAAACCTGATGGTGGGTCCAAAATCCCAAGAGCCAAATTTGAAGCGCTTGGAGAGTCCACAAAGCCTGTCTCGAAAGCAGTTGAAATTGCCATCGTAGTCACCCTCCAAGTCATGAGGGCTGTTGATGCCTTCGCCAGCTCCTAGATAGTCATCCACATGCAAACCCATCACACCATCAACAGTGCAAATTGAGCCGCCAAGGTTGAAGCAGGCGAACTCCTCATCATCTTGATTGGCCTCCCGAATGCTGAGGTACACACAGCGGTCGAGAGGATGGCGTAGAAACCTCATGTTGTTGATCATGACGCCATCTGCTGAAGCATTCCACTGTTTCGGTGCACGCACGTCACCGAAGGCTGGCTTTGTTGCCTTCAAGAGCTCGTAGTGCTTCAAGCCCATGAGGCGCTCAAGGCGTCTTCGCATGTCGGAAGAGGGCTTGATGTAGATCCTGGTGTCCTGGTCGATGCTATCAGCTTGCATGAAAGCAGATTTGACATCTGCGGCAAAGATCTTCCATCGGTGCTGCAGGGCAAAGAGGTAGATGAGATGTTTCCCAATTCTGCTGAGTGTTGGTGCTTCCTTTTCAATCTCCTGCGTCAAAACATCTCTATGTTTGAAGCCCTGCAAGATGACTCTTGCATTTGCCACACGACCCCCAGGAGCATCAGGTTTTGGCTTCCACCGTTGAAGAAAGCGTGCTGGGACTGTCTCCTCAGGGTCAGCCTCCTCCATGTTCACTGGTCTCCAAGCATCATTTTCAATCCAGACTCTGAGTGCCTGGTCTTTGGCTTCGTCAAACTGAGCTCTCTCTTCCAAGCTCAATCTCTTCTCGTTGAACTCCTCCGCAAGCAGCTCGTCATCCACATCGATGTTGTCAACTGGACCATGCCAGTTGCTGTTGAGCTCCTGTCTGGTAGCCGCTCTCGGAGGTAAACCTTCCAAACGTCGTGCTGCATCAAAAGAAGCCTGAGACATTCTCAGACGTACTTCGTCCTCCTTTGGTGGACTTCTTGATCTCTCTCGCTTTTCTGCTTTCACTTCTGCTGCAGGTTGTTGTTCTACGTCCATGTTGTTGTTTGTTTCAAGCTCTGCTGCTGCACTGTCACGTTTGACCATTTTGATCTCCTCTTTGATGCTGCTTTTGCTGTCTGCATCCTCATTCTTGAGCTCCATTGTTGTTGCTGCGCGCTGCGCTGCGTTTGCTTCTGTGTCAACGGAAGGTCCATCGGGGGCAAGGTCAAGAAAGCGAATTGGGCCTCGCACTGGCCGAAGTGCTCGAAGAACTCGTTGTTGAGCAGGTTCTCGGGCTGCAGTGTCGGGCAATTGCTCTAACCTTGCTGTTCTTTCTGCTGGAACTTCACGTCGTGCCATGACTTGTGCTACACGAACCAGTGATGAGCCATGTGCCATCCAGTAGACATCAGGTCTTCCATCAGGTCGACTTTCGACGGCACAAACCAAAGCTGGACCACGCCACCTAGATGCCTCTTTGTCCATCATCATTCGCCAGTAGTATCCATAGTCGCCAACTTGCAGAGGTTCATCATCAGTTCTGGTCTTGGCGAGCATGGCCTGTCTGAGTGTTGCATCAGTGTTGGCCTCATAGAAGGCTTTGGTTGCCAGGGCTCGAATGGCCTGGTCTTCCATGTAGGCTTGACGTCCATCAACGCGAAGCCTGGTTGGCTCATCGCAGATTCCATCATCTTCAGGAGTGTACCCCAAAACCATTGCTGCTGGAGAAATTCCATGTATTGATCTCAGCCGGTTGCGCTGAGAGCAGGCAATGATGACTGCCTTGCGGATGTCCAAGCTGGTGTTTTCTTTCATCATTTTCATGAGTTGTCGGCGTCGTACTGCATGAAGACGCTCGATGGTGCCCATCCTGTTGTGAGCATCCTTTGGCACAAGGATGAGTTTGATTCCATATTCATCGCACCAGCTCTGCATCTCTTCTCCCATGTGTGCACCTGAAGAGTCAGTTTTGATCCTTCTTGGAACACCTGCCCAAGACATCCATCGCTCCAAAGCTGCTGTTTCCTCATCAAAACTTTCACTGCTGACCACCTCGTTCATTTCATACCTTGTATGCAGATCCAAAACTGCAAGGATCTTGTGTTTCTGTCCATGCCATTTGATGTGAAAAACGTCCATCTCCAGCATGTCGTTGAAGTGTGTGGTCTGTGGCAGAGATGCTGGTCTGTCCAGCTTCTTTGGGGCAAAAGACTCGCAGATGTCACATCGAAATTGACGTCCGCATTTGATGATTGTGTCATCAAAATTCGCATCCTTGAGGGCCTTGACCAGTCTGTCATTGCCAGGATGACCAAGCTGTCTATGCAACTTCTTGACCACATTGAGAGAAGCTGGGCCAAACTCTTTGGCCAGTTGACGATCATGCTCCGTCAATCTGTGTTGTTGTTGAGCTGCTTTTCTCTCTTTCTCAGCCTCCTCGTCGTTGAGCTCCTCAGTGACCATCACTTGAGCGATCTGCCTCAGACGCCAATTGTTCTCCATGTTGTTGTAGATGGCTTTTGCAGCGCGCTGGACAAAGTTTGGCTCGTAGTTTTGCATCTCCTTCAGTGCCGCGCTTTTGCCTATCATCTGGACATGTTCGCCTTGTGGACATTGGCATTTGAGGTCCAAAGCTTCTGCAAGTTCTGGACTGTTTGTCCTGATTCTTGTGCTCTTCTTGACAAGCCCTTGGAAGATGCCGTTCTTGTAGTATGCAAGGCCTGTGCGACAGCGGTCACACACCACATCATAGTATTCTTCCATTGACTGCCAAGTTGGAGTGAACCAAGACCTTGCTCTGTCTGGGTTCTCGATGCCATCGCCTGCATAGATGTCGTAGGACTTGTCGCGAACATCTTTGCAAAGTTGTAAGTGAGCTGACTCTTCCTCATCTCGTAGTTCTTGAAGTCGTTGTTTGTCAGCCTCGGTGATGGCATTCAAGTTCTGCATGGGTGACCACAAAGTGCATGGAGGCGCAAGCCATATGAAGTGCGGTTTCTCCATGTCCATGAGCTCCAGAAATCTCTTCCTGATCTCCGCATTCTTGAAGTCCCAGTCTGGCAAAGAAAAATTTGCCACCTCCACGTCGGGGTAGTGGTTGACCATGTGTTGAGAGATGTTGCCGCGGTCGACGTAGACCTCCCAGAAGAGGAGCCCGCGGCTAGCAAAGCTTTTGCCAACCGCCACCTCACTCAATTCCAGGGCATCGTTCACATCCACGTCGACCGCGCAGTTGGGTGATGTTTCCACCATACCTTCCTTGTCAATGTTGGGTTCAATGGTCCAACTGTCTTGCACATCCTCAGCCACCATGATCGCGTCCATGTCATTCTCCAGAGCGTCCTTGAAGACAATCTCGCATTCTTCTGTCAAAAGTCCAATATTGTTGTTCTCCTCCAGCTGGTGGTTGACTTCCTCTTTGATGTCCTCATAGTCCATCAAGTTGAGAATGTAGTGCTTCTTCTTGTCGCGCTCGGGCTCAAACCAATCAGAATTCATCACCTTCAATCTGGCATTCTCATAGTCCTGCTTCACCTTCCACTCCTCAAGCGTAGGTCGCGCCACAAGAAAAGGTGTTCCACCAGGAACAACTGCTGCAGTGAGGTTCAACTTCTGGCCCTTGACATACGCTGGGAAGGTCACCTCGTAGTTGGATCTGACCACATTGCCGTCTCCAAAGCGAAAGTCTCTGACCTCATTGTTGTAGTGGATCTCCTTGACATCGCGCTCGCGCATGTGCTCGAGCCATTGCTTCCAGACATCTTCACCAACTATCGTTCTTGAAGCGCCAGAATCAACGATTGCCATGCCTGTCACCATGTTGGAGAACAGGCATTCCTCAGCTGCATTGATCTGGTAGATCTTGTCCTCCGTGATGTCCTCCACCATAGTGACCTGGTCCTCTGAAACCTCTTTGACTCCAGCTCCTTGTACTCGATAACGTTTGAATCGAGGTCCATGCTGCGATGTTGATCCAGACAAAGTTGATCTCAGATCAGAGCTCACGCTGCTTGAAGTGCTCGGTGTAGAACTCGGTGTAAATCTCCTCAGACCACTTGCCGGCCGTCTCGACCATGGAGTCTTCTTGAAGCCATTGCCATTGTTGTTGTATCCCTTGCTCTTGCCCTTTCCTTTTCCGCCTTTTGCTTTGCCTTTGCCTTTTCCACCTCGTGCATAGCCCTTGCCCTTCTCTGACTGCACCTCAGGTCCCAATGCAACGATGGGATAGAAGCCTCTTGACAAAGCCAGTTCTCGCATACGACGACGGCTCTCCACATAGCTGACGTAGGCATCTTCGACCTGGTCTGCTGCATTCTCCACATCCTCAGGGATCTCGTCCTCGTAGTAGACCTCGTCGTTGTTGTAGTCGAAGTCCTCGTCAAAGCCATCATAGTACTCATCATCGTCCTCCTCATAGAAGACCTCCTCATCAATGTCCTCGTAGAAGACGTCGTCCTTGTGAAGCTTGCCAAGGTCTTTTGGATTGGGTCGATGATCTCCGCCAAACATTCGCATCAAAGCTTGGCTGACCTTGTCATACTCCATGTCGCCACCGCACATTGACTTCACCTGCACGTGCGTCCATTTGGGCACACCTGCACGGGTCAGCAAATGCCAACCAGCCAAGAGCTTGGGGATCTCGATGTGCACCTCCTTCATCTTCTTCATCATAGTGCCATGCCGCAAGATGTAGGCCTGTAGATCTTCGTTCTTCATCCGCATGAACTCCTGGAAAAACTCTTCGCACCGGCTAGGGACTTCAATGAGGTCCTCGTACTGGTAGAGCTTGTCCAAAAGTTCCCAAATCGGGCTGAAAGGCTCTTCTGCAAGTTCAACCTCGTCAAGGTCAAGTTGTTCCGTAGCCTCCCATGCCGAATCTTGTAGAAGACTGATTGCAAGATAGGCTCCCTCTATGGAAGTGTCCCTGTTGCGACATGCACATTGTTTGGCAAAAAGTTTGAGTCTTCGCCTGTAACTTCTGTAGCTCTTCTGGTTGAGTCCCTCTGCTGAAGGGGCTGATTTTGCCAAACCTGAATCTAGTCCACGTCCACCGCCGCCAGGGAATCCTTGGGATCCATTACCTGCTGCTCCTCCATTTGCTGCAGTTGCAGCATCGCTTCCACCACCATTGCCTTTGCCGGGCATTGGGTCGCTAAATCACCGCCTCAGGTTCCGTGATGTTCACAGCCAAAAGCACAGTGATCGACACGGCAAAGATGGCAAGGTTGTAGCAGGTAGTAGGAGCCTTCAGAAAGGATCGTGAAGAGCTCCGCTACCAATTTCGGGATGATGCTCTCACGAAGTAGCAGTCCACGCCTCAAAGTTGTTTTCCTCGTTGCACGTGTGTCGTGCCTGTGCTGACTCAAGGCGCCTAACGCCCAGATCCGAAATGGGCAATGGAAAATGTAATGTTGGACATGTTGTCCCACCTGGCAAATGGTGCAAGTGAAAAGGGTCACATGTTGTGACTGAATGGATTGTCGTGTCAATGCAATCTGACATGTTGAATATTCTTTCTTGTGGATCAATTGGTTCCCATATCCATCAGCTCTCAACACGGCAGGCCTATCGTCGACCCGACGTCGTAGGCTCCTCTTCGTGTTGAAACGAGCCGTTGAGGCTGGGGCCGGTGAAAAACATGGGGACATTCACCAAGATCCCAGAATTGATCGGACAATTTACAGGGAACCCATCGATTTCAGTAGATTTCCCTCAGATCAATCCATTGACAAGAAGAATGGGCATCTAATGATTGGATGCCTTCTCAGAAGTTTTTGGGCCGCAAGATCCAAAAAATGCTCTGTTCCAGTACTGAAAGCCATCTGAAAAAGAGAAATTCTGCAAAAAAACAAAGGGTCGAACAGATTTGAGAAAAACTCAAATGGAACATGAGTCTGCCAAATAGATATCCGTTTTGAACGAATGAGTGGCATTTTCGAAGATGGGACATGTCCTGCCTTGTACAGAGATCCACCCCTTCCGAAATTCACCATGAGTGATTCACCTCTGGCCTACACGGCTTTCATGACCGTCTCCGCCACAGGGTGCGTTGGCAGCCTATGATACGACCATCATCAGGGACCAGGAGCAACGGTAGACCTTCAGAAGTGCAAAAACCCTCTGGGTATCATGTGTGATGTGTTTTGGAACGACCCATCTTCCAGGAGATTCTGGAGTACCTGCAGGGTCGCGAGCGGGTGGCTGTGGCCTACAGGCCACGGATGAGTGCCTTTTCCACTTTTTTCTTTGAAGACTTTGTCCGTGAGGCTTGGGAAGAAGATGATCCTACAAGACGTCCAAGCGCAATTAGTGTCCTGGCCAAGCGGCCGTTTGGTGGGGGTCACCCCAGGGTCGCGAATGCGAGCCGAGGAGAGAGCAGATGAGAAGATACGTCAGAAACAGGCAAAGCGGGAGAAGGCTGGAGCCTCAGATGGATCAAATTTTGCTAACTCTGCGATGCTGTGATTTGTCTGTGAATAGGAGAGAAGCTGCACCTCTTTTTCCGGCCATGGTATGTTTTCCCAGGACTCCGCCTTGCCCAGCGCGGTCACCGGCAAGAGGAAGAGCCCAACACCCGGAAAAGGCTTTGGCTGAGAGGACTCACAGCTCCAAGAAATCGTCGCTGATCGATGACACAATGAATCTGGAGCTGTACCAGGGCATCCCCGCGACCCGGAGGTGAGGCGCCAAGGAGAGCTTGAGATGCTGAAGATCTGCGGAGCATTGACGAAAAAGGGTGCCTGCTGATGGAAGTCGAAAGCTGTTCCTCTCGTGTAATGTTAACCCAGGACGAACATACCCCTAGTTACCTAGTTGAATGAGTGCTTACCAATGGCTACCATTCATAGAGCGAACTATCACTATTAGTTGAGGGGGCCGAGGATATACGTCTGTCATATGGAGGTTTTATAAGGCAGGGATACCCCTGTTCATCATCCATTTATAGAACGATTTTCCATGATAAACCATCCAGCTATTGGAGATTCCCCATGACTATGGAACCCCCCAATATTGTTTCAACTGCCCCAACCCACCAGACGTTGTGAGGCCATGGTCCTCTTCGTCCTGAGCGACCCCAACTTGCCATTTGGTCAACTTCGAATGCGCCACTCAGCTGAGTTCAGCTCAGCTCATGAAGCATCCTTAGCACTTTGTCAGAATCTAGGACCCGGGAAACCCAAAGAACCCCCAAAGAAAACCCAACATTCTTCCGTCAAAATACTTCATCTACTGTTTTTGGTGTTATCTTGACAGCTCCCTTCTTTTGGCACAGGCAATGCCTTCGACAAGACCAATCCATGGCTGCGTTCTGCATATGCAGCACTAGGTAGCAAGCCCAGTGTGGAGCACACCAGACGTCAGCAGACAATTTGGGTTTGGGTATGGACCTACAACAGTTGTTCTTTTGCTTAATCATTCAATCATCCATAGTTTGGGGTGTTGATAATTTTGACACATGCGTTTTATTTTGGGTAGTAAACAATCCATTTTGTGGTTGGATCGATTTTTTTGACCCATACCCAATTAGCTTTGAATGATACACTTCGATCTGAACGCCAAGATGAGTTTCAGCCGAAATCTCGATGAAGATGCTGCACATTGTGGCTCATTAGATGGCCCATCTCCCAAGGCTGGGATGCTCTCTGAAGTTCAATATTTCATGTCATAAACTGTAATGGACCAGAATCTATTGATATCCATGAATATCCAATTTTACCACAATATTTCAGGTATTCGAAACCCCAAGGAGCAGACCCGGCGCGTCTACCACGGATGGTCGTGTCCCTCAGTTGCGACTCGTGCGGCTTCCAAGGACCTCAGAACCGTGTCACTTGTCTCTACATCGGTGCGGGTGCAGCTGCACGGTCTGAGGACAAGGGGGGGTTTTGGAATGGTTCGGATGTAGATGCACATGCAGTGAATACTTGGAAGTCTGTGGTAGCTTTTGGATACGTTTGGATCCGGATACTTTCGGTATTTTTTTTTGCACTGAAGCGTTTGGAGTATCAAGACCTCGACCACATGATGCCAAGCCTAGGCCTAATGCCAAGGGGCAAAGGCCCTGGTGACCCTAGTGAACCACCGACAACGGGTTTCACTGGCCACATGGTAGAACTGGACCATTTCTGTCAAATACCATAAATACCATGGTCGAAAATCTCGTTTTCCTCATAGAAGCCATTGGTCAACAGGGTTTAGTCATCTGCCCTGAATCCCCAAACGAAACAATTTGCAGAGGATTGCCACTTCAAATTCTGCAAAATCCCACTTTTTCATCCCAGTCATCCCAACAATCCCATGATATCCCCGATCCCATTCGAGCAGGAGCTGCTTGCCGCGGAGGCTGCAGCACTTCCTACTGTGCTGTGCAATGCCGCGACTGCCATTGAGGTGGTCCAGTGAGTCCAGTGAGTCCAGTGAGTCCAGTGGGGCCGTAGTCGTATGGCTTTCACCATGGAAATTCATAGGGATTCCATCAATGAATCATGGATTTATGGTGAAAACCATGGGATTTGGATTTCTTTGGAAAATATGGGGATATTGCCAAAGTCCCATGGTTTGATAAAGTTGCTTTCAACATATTGACATGGTGAAAAAGGGCTTTAATGAACAAGAATTAGAGGATATGTATTAATATAATACAGTTACGTTACCATCAATGATATTTGAGAGTCTTCCTATCGTGGAGGAATAAACATGGAAGTCATGGAAACATGAACTTTCAGGGAATCCCCTTCTGTGATGTTGGCCCAGAAGACACAGCACGAAAGTTACATCTGTACTCCACCCAATCCTGCGTTTGAAACATTCCAGAAGGCTATTTGGGTCTTCAAAAAACAGGGGAGAATCCCAGAATTTTGGGGTTCATCATCATTTTCCCATCATTTTCCTCGTTTTTTTGTATGGCCATGGCCGCCATGGTTTTTGGGGAGACTTCGCGCCGGATGGCATTTCGGCATCAGGTTTGGCTCAGTGAATCGGACCTGGGACTGGTGATGCGATTTGTCAACAGACCTGAGGCCGCTGTGTCTTCTGACGTCGGCATGTGATATGACCTGATTCTGGTAGTAACCCCCAAAAAGATGCTGAAAAGTATATAGAAATCCTACTAGAAAGGTGATGCTGAAGACTTTGCTATCTTTTTTTTGGGTTCTTTCTTGAAGTATTCAGCAAGGATGATATAGCCAATGGAACCAACGGGTGATGGGGGACATCAGCCACAACTGGCGATGGAACAATGAACCAGAGACGACACCAACATTTCGAGCATGGAGTCAGAATGCCTTCAACTTGAAACAGGAGCCACAGGATTGTTCCAGCGGTTTTCTGATAGGTATAGGTTTCATGTTTGATGTTTTCTTCTAGTGCCATTTTGGTTCAAGCTGGCTCAGACGACTTGAGCAACATTCCCAGTCTGAAAAACATGGATGCGAAGCGCATCACTGATCTGGTCACAGGCGCAGAGGAAACGGTCACGGACCCAGATGGAAATGCTTCGGAGTCAGGTCCAAAGGAGATGAAGGGCGTCCCTGCTGCGCCTGCCGCTGGACCGGCAGCAGTGCAACAGCCAGTGGCAGCTGCTTTTGGAGGAGCCTCTGCTGAAAGTGCTTCCCAGTTTATGCGCTGCAGGCAGAGATCCGGCGCTTGCATGCGCTTCTTCAGGAGGCCAATAAGCACAAGGAAGATATCACGAAGGGCGTCCCAGCTGCGGCACCGGCTGTTGCAGTGGCAGCAGTGCGACAGTCAGTGGCAGCTGCTCTTGGAGGAGCCTCTGCTGAAAGTGCTTCCCAGGTTTGTGCGCTGCAGGCAGAGATCCGGCGCTTGCATGCGCTTCTTCAGGAGGCCAATAAGCACAAGGAAGATATCACGAAGGGCGTCCCAGCTGCGGCACCGGCTGTTGCAGCGGCAGCAGTGCGACAGTCAGTGGCAGCTGCTCTTGGAGGAGCCTCTGCGGCATCGCCACAGATGTTCGACATCAGCAGTGATTTGGACTGCGGGTCCGAGGCGGCGACGACGCAGACGTTCGACATCAGCAGTGATTCGAACGATGAGTCCGAGGAGCCGGTTTTGCCGGAGATGCCCGTCGCGCCCCCTGAGGACAGCGAAGGTGAGATGGATCTTGTTTGCAGGTGCACCCCAGCCATGCCCGAGCCAGCGATTACTGTTTGTGTGGAAGGCATGGCATTTCAATATCAACTGGTGCACGATGACCCCCACCAATTGTTCATGCGTTACGGATATGTCAAGAAAATTTGCTTGTACGAGGCAGCCACCCGTGCCATTATGATCTTCGATCAAATCCGAAGTGCTCAGGCATGCATTGATGCCCTGAACGGCAAGGTGCCAACGGGTTTGAGAGGAACAATGAGAGTCAACTGGGCGGGCAGCCCGGCCATGGCTTTGAGCGCAGAACTCGAAGCAGTGCGACAGGATAACAGGGCGCTGTTCTGTTTGTACAGGGCATGTGTCCCGAGAGATCCGGTCCAGGTCAACATTGACATCTAGAACTGACATTTGACACATCGTGCGCGGTGATCTTGCTTTGTATTGCATGTACTCAAACCAACGCTGTCCAAAAAAAAAAGTTTGGGCTCAAACTCCCCCACGCCCTACTACCTTCCTTAGTGGGGTGTTTGTACCCACGGGCTGCGCTGTGCAATAGCCTTCGTGCTGTCTTTCGTGGCCACCTGACATTGCACGTGTACTGCTGCTACGCATTTGTGTCCCGGCACATACCTCTCGGGGAGTCGCTGTCGTTGAATCGACCGACTAGAGGTGCTTCTGGACAACTTGGCATTGTGTGATTTTCCACGTGCATTACAAGTTGATCTGTGGGTATTTCTTATAATTTTTGGGGCCTTTGTTCACTGGTTCTGCGGTGGCCATACACCGGGCCCGGAATTTGCAACACAGCTTCTGAACTGGTACTACCCTGGAAGCCTATTTGTGAATTTTGATGCGATTTCAGACCTTTTTTGTGGCATTTTTCAATTTGATTTGCTACAACGGCATTGACATCTACGCTGCAGAGAAGGCAAAGGCGGTCGAGAGCACTTGCCAGGTTTCTGTGGTGGCAGATCAAGAACGGATTGCGAAAAACTGGTGTGGCAACTCTGCGTTGGGTGAAAAAGACGCTGAAGGCTCACCCTTCAAACGATCCTCATCTTGGTCAATTGATCGACAAGAGATTGAAAGTAGCAATGGCAGACAGTGGCAAGCAAAATGCGGGGTGGCTTTGCACATGGTGCAGAGTCATGAATGGGAAGCATGCCAACCATTGCCATCGATGTGGAGGACATTGGCAAGGTACAGGGGAAGGCTATGGAACTTCCTACAATGCCTGGCACCAGGAGCAGCCGTACGACCACGATACGTACCAGCAGTGGCCCAAGTCTCCGAGACACAAGTCACCGTGGACATGGGGCAAAGGAAAACAGAAAGGTCGAGGGAAAAGTCCCAGACCAAAGAAACCAAAGACGCCGCGCGGGGGGGAGATTGCACAGCCTCCACCACCGCCAGGTGTTCCAGCGGTTCCTATGGTTGCTCCTGGACTCTCATGGATGCAGGCGGCACAGAACATACAAGTGCCTGCACCGCAGACTTCAGCAGAAGCCCAAGCGGCTCCTGCCCCGATACCACCGGAGTACAAGTCGTTGATCGACACACTTCGGAAGAATCAATCCAGAGGCACTTTGCCGGAGGATGTGCAACAGGAAATGAGAACGATCCAAGTCAAAGAGGAAAAAAAGCAGAACAAAGAATTGAACCAAGCAGTCAAGGGTTTGCGGAAAGCACGCAAAGAGCTGCAGGATTCCTTCGAAGCTCGCTCACAGCTGCACATGCAATGCAGGGCTTTACGAGTCAATTTCAAGCCCAAGAGCAAGTTGCCATGACAAGGATCAGCGAAGCACAGCAGACACTCAGAGAAGCAAAGGCTCAGCTGGCTTCATCCAAGGAGATTGCGGAGTGGCATCTCAAGCGGAGGGTTCTACAGCAGATGTCGACCTTATTTCGGAGGACGACACATCCAAAGTGACAGACCGTGCACTGAAGATGCAAGATGGTATGCAGAGCCTCACCGCAACATTGGAGCAACTACAGCATGCAGCAGAAGCGATCCACGAAAGCGAGCAAGCCGCCAAAAAAGCCCGGCTGGACAGACCCTGTATATTGCAGTGTTACACCTTGCAAGAGGTGGAGTATTCCTCAGCGAACACCCTGCTTGTCCGGAGGATGAAGAAAAAGCCAGTATTTGAAGGTCGGCACTTGTAGGTTTGTTGCTGAAGGATCCAGTCTGCAAGCTTCAGACTTTTGGCCAGTGGAAATGGGGTAGTGCAACACCCAAACCCACAGGCCTTTTGAGTATCAGATTGCCTTTTCTGGCCAAATCAATGTACGCTTGTGCTGATGGAATTCTTCCTTATCCTACGCGAGTGGCACAGGGAACTGATGAGCACGGCTCTTTCCACGCAGCAGCATGCAAGGAATATCCTCCTCTATTTTGCAAAGCTCTTGCGAGAGCATTCACTGATCAATTTGAGGCCTCGTTACGTGCACGAAAGGCAATTAATTGCATGGTGGATAACTCACTCCTGCACAGATGGCTGCATGAAGCAGCTACCGAGAGTGAGCCAATCCACAATTTCACCATATTTCACCACATTCCGGCCTGATTTCCAAGGACGTTGTTAGTGGAGTGCACTTACGAGACCTAGTTTTTGTCCTTTAATTTGCATGTGAAGGGGCATGCAGTTACAATAGCAGCAAGAGCTAGACTCTTAGATGCGCAGCAAATGGCAAAAAAGTGGGACACACACATTTGCTAGCCCTAAATATATCTGGAACATCCCCATATGTATATATGGGATTATAGGGGTTATATATGGTTTATATATGGATTACAAACCAGTTACGACTCGTGGGATGCACATCCAGCAGCCACTAAGACCTAACGTGTAGGCCCGTGGGGTCAGGTCTATGAGATGCCACCGGGCTGGCCATACACTCACCAGGTGCGAATCCATTTTTGTGAAGGGCAGCGATTGGGAGTTTGTTTTAAAATAACCAATCATTGAATATTAAATAATAACCATCAATCGTCATCAATCATCATCAATCATCATCAATCTCCATTTTGATAGAACAATCCAAAGAATCATACTGTAAATTGTGTATACATTGGCCATTTTCATCCATCGGATCCATCGCCAGAGGGCTACACATTCCATTGCAGTCGTCCAAGGTGTTGGAGGACCCTGCTGCGGGTGCTGCGCAGCTGGAGGTCCGAGTGACTGCGAGTGACTTTTTTTTTAATATTTTTTTTTCTGAAAGACTAGGCTCCAGGATTCTTTGGGATTCTGATTCCGAGCTAATTTTTTTAATGTTTTCTTTGGAAAAACCGAGCATGAATCATGTTCCTGGAACTTTTGGAAAGGATTTCTGTTTGGATTTTCCAAAGTGGATTTCGGGCTTTCGTTTCAGGCCGACGAAGTAGAGGCGGCTGAAGGTGTGGTGGGTTTGATGGGCTTGGGACAACCAAAATGGAGAGTTTTGATGACGTAAACATCAACTTGTAGCATCTAGCCATCCACTTTGTTATCCCTTTATAGCACTTCATTTAGGTACCTACCCATCCGGCGATAAGTATGATATTGGCATTTGTTTCCATCATTCAAATCATTTGGGTGTCTATCCATCCAATTTTAAGTATCGCAACATTCATTGTTTGCAACACGCATTGAGGTTGTGGTGATGATTGATCACCTGCAGAGGACATGTGTTTTCCAAAATAATAGTAACCCTGTTGTATCAAGGAAATAACTGGAAGGGAAAATGTTAAAAACTGAGTCAGACCAACTTTGTGGAATCTTGGTTGCTATTGACAAATTGAACATCGAACAATGGCAAATCCACCCGGCTGGGGTGTTGGGAGGCGCGCCATTGCTTCCACAGCGAGGAACCCAAGGTTTTGTGGAATCGACAACGGAGTATGGCTCCGACAGCCGACAAAAGGCTGGTCGTTGTGAGTATCAAGCCATCCAGTTTTGAGCCCACTGATCCAGCTGAACCACCGATGCCGAGGTCTTTGATTGGACCCAGCCCGGGTGAACAGTATGCTGGGACCTGAAGGATCTGAAATTTCGAGACTTAGACATGTGGGTTTGTCCAACCCCAAAGATGCCATCTGTATAGGAGATTTGATGATGCTTTGGATTTCAGGTAGCCACGGGTAGGCTCTTTTCAGACTAATCCATTCATTGTTTAAGTCTCTATTGATTAAATACCCAGGGGGATCATCCCATAGATATCTCACGCGAACAGCTGAGGCACTGTTCGACCTCAACCGAGACAATCCCACAGACATCCCGGATGTGGCCGGGTGTCCCGAAAGTCGCGGCGTAGCCTTCAAAGCTTAGATTTCACATGGAATACAACCGATTTCGGTCATGTTAGTCGCTCATTCTTGTGAGTCCCATGTTAGACCCCTTTGGGTAGAACTTATGAACTTTTTTCTGTATCAAAATGTATGCAATCAGGTCGACTTTCTCGTGATGACTGATGTTGGCTCTTTCTCATTCCTTTTTCCATAGGCTTCTAGGTTCTATCAGTTCCACTCTCTGAGGTAATCGGACATGGCACTGGAAAATCCTTAATTTTTTTTCCGAAAATCATCTGCATATATGACATTTTTGAAGGGGAGTCTTCCAGCAAACTAGGTTAGTATATACTGAATGACAATTCCCCAAACAGTGTTGGTAAAACCGTTAAACCCATTCTTTTGTGGCTGAAGAAACCCTTCCTCTTGGTCCGTTTTTTTCTTGGTGATAAGCAACCGGACCACTTGCAGGCGCTTGATCTCATGTCTCCCAGCTGTGCTCTGGCGGCCGGGCTCTTGAGGTTGTTGGCAACGGGACGGTTAAGGGATGATTAGTTGATAATTGGATACATCATTAATCTCTTCATGGGATGGAGAATGGTTCCCACACATCAATAGTTGATCATTAAATATTCGATACATGGCATATGCCACTTGTGTTGGTTCACATCTCGTTTTTGGATGGGGCATCCCAGTGAGAACGACGCTGAGGCGCTACAAGAACGGCCCCATGGTGATGCGATTTTGCTGGCCGGTCGAAGGTGCGACTGCGGATCGTTGTTTCAAAGTGGGGATAGACCAATGGCAATTTCGATAAGGAACATGGGGGTTTAGCCTGTGGATTTTTTTTGGCTTCCCAATTCTGGGGACAATCGCATTTTCATGCAATGAGAGTTCGGGTTGCAGCAAGCTGTAGCCGAGGGGGTTGATAACACCGTTGATAATTGAAGAGTCTGACTGTTGCTACTTATCTTGGCGTTTGAAAGTGCCTAGGTATCCTTCTCTTGCAAAGCTACAGAGCACAGTGGCGGATATTGTCATTGAGCAGGACAGGCCTTTTGGATCTCTTAATTGGGGCTGGTCATGGCTGTTCCGACCAGACTGACCAGACTCCAGGAGCCGGGGCAGCACCTCAGATTCGAGGACGACGAAGACGCCATGAAGACCTTGTTGAGCTTCCATCCAGAGGGAGACAGGTGAGGGCTGGGCAACACAAGACACGGGCACAACTGCTGGGTGTTACCCAGTTGCCACCCCAGTTGCATCCATTGAACTCGAACAAAACCATTAGTCGCCATGGATTTTTTGCAGGCTATCAGGCTATCCATTTATTTTTCAATATTTTTCAATCCATTTTTCAATCCATCCCATGGATGATCAGTTGGATAACCATGGATAACATCATTTTTCATCAGGAGATAACCTGTTGGCTCCCAGGTTACTAGAGGACCTGGTGGCCATCAAAGTGGACTCTTCCCCCGTGGACGATGATACGAGGTGCGTTGAGCTGTGGGTGTTGACATCACCGAGAATTTGAGTGAGCTATTAGTACTACTATTAACATCTATATATTATCATTTTCATATAATCATTATTGTCATTATTATTAGTTGAGTTCTAAAAATGTTTAGATAGATGTGTTTTTTTCCTGTTTTTTTTGGTGTTTTGAGATATTCTTAGCCAGTCTTGGAAAGTATGTATGCATGTCCGTTGTCCATTTGGGTTGCACTCACTTCAAAGAGGTGATGAAAAAACATTGCGGCAGGTGTTTGTGGGTCATCAAGTACGATGGCTACGAGGACGTTTGCAGAGCATTACAATTTACATTCTTCTTTTTGCAGGGAACGCAATGGTTCAAGTGGGTTTCTTTCAACATTGGATGGTCCACTTAGTCTACTTAAAATCAATCTCTCACCGAACAGCCATGAACCTTTGAATCTATGGTGCCCCATGGTGCCCCCGAGCGATCCCACTATTCGGCTGAGGAAGATGTGAGCCTCAGGGCTTGCCTCGAAGGCAGGGAGACGCTTGGAGACTACTGATACTGGTCAAAAATCGTTGCCCTATCAAAATTAGGAGATTTCCTAAGTCATGGGGGTATTCCCCAGTCATCCTCCATTTTTTCCTAGGATTTTTCATGAAATAAACCATCCAGCTATTGGGGTACCACCATTTTAGGAAACCACCCTTAGACCAGGAAGCCATGCACGGCGATGCTCAGAGGCTTGGAAAACGTGTTGAATCTCGAAGACACCCAGACCAAGCAAGAAGGCGGCTCTGGTCTAAGGGTTGAGAGGTTTCAGCTGAATGAGACCAAGCTATCATTTTGTTGGAGAGTTCTTGATATGTTTACCAACTAGATGAACTAGATCCGAATCAGAGAGCAACAACAGACTTTCTACTGTGAGATGTTCAATTCATCAGATCTTTTGAAACGACCTGAAGCAGAGGACAGGCGATTCAATCAGCCTCTGGCAAACTCACATTTTGCTATGGAAAATCACAATTTTTACTGGGTAAATCAACTATAAATCCATTTTCAATAGCTATGTTAGTTTACCGGAGGGCAATTGAATGCTTGAAAGATTGTGACTGTGTAGTATTACATGTTATGCGCAAATTTCGTGGCTCCTGCTGCCCTGCCCTGATCTTGGCATCAGTTTCGTGCCCAGATGTTTCCTTGGGGGGCTGATGTTTCAACAAGCAACTACAATCGAAAAAAGAAGCACACCATCAGAAGAAGACTGTTTCCACTATTGGTTGTAGGTGATAAGGATTATACGATATTATACGTCACTTGCAGCCTATCCTCAGTTTTCCAACTCGACTCAGTTAGCACTGCATCTAATTAGAAGCCTTGGAAGTTCCCGGCGTCGAACGGCGTGTGCCGTGTGACACGGGTCGTGGTCGTGGTCGAGATGTGGCAAGGATCCATGGGTCGAATGGAGGAGAGGCTCAGAAAGGAGATGGCCACCACCACGAAGCCCTTTGATGTGTGGTTCTCACTGAGGCCAAACACAGCCGGATGTCTGAAAATCTGAAAATGATTGAACATGTGGATTTTCTTATTGTCCATCTCAATGGCATTTAATGGCCCAAGGGGCCACATGCACACGATTTTTGGACACAGCCAGTTATCAGAATCTGTATTAGAGTAGGACGCACGAAAACAGATGGGCGCCCCCAATCGGAATCACAGACACCAGCGGTTGCCAGAGTGAGGCAAAAAATGCCATGCGAGGCTGTGTCATCTTCTTCTCTGTCAGTAGTTTACCAAGTAGATGATTACCAAACTCGCCAAGCAACTCGTGCCTTTTCCATGCCGACACCGCGTACGTGTCAGGTGTCTTGGGCTCATGACCTTTTTCGGCTGCATGTCCGCCATCTTCTACCCGGTCCTGTGGATCGGTGTCATCGTGCTGAGTCTGGTGCCGCAGATCGGTCAGTTGTATGCCCCACCCCTGGTGATCCTAACGGCCTTCGGCACGGTCTATGGATTGCTGATGATTGCCATCTACTACCTCAACACCCGAGTAGGCCAGTGGAGTACTATACTAACATATACAAAAAGTATAAAACAGGCCCCAAAACATCAGCCAAAAAGCAGAGAGATGGGTTTGGGGCCGAGATGTTGAGAGATTGTCAGATATCCCCATTGATGATATTCATGATATCTGACTTGTATTCAGTTTTATTTGGAGTTGATTTCTGTCGCTGTCATCCACTTTTTGCTGTTGAATCACTCTGTTTGATGACAAAACCAACCATTTCTGATGGTTAAACCATGTTAAACCCACCATTGTTTGTAAAGCCTTTTTTGCTGTGAGGCATCTCGCTTCTCCACATGGCCTGTAGCGTTTCCCTGGCGTGCCTTGGGCTCTTTGGCGCAACGATGGCTGAGAAGATGTTGGCCGAAAATAGACAGGCGCCTTTGGCCAAAAACGGCGGAACCAACGATTCCTTGGGAGGCTTTGGTGAACGCAGTTCCCAAGTTTGGTCTCCAGTCTTTTTTTCGGAGTACATCTCTACTTCGACTGGATGAATTCCTTAATTTCTGGTAGAGATGTCTCCGTTTTGAGGGTGAAATACTCCAAGTTTCTTTGTGCCCCGAAGCGACGAGGCCGAGAAGAACGGCAAGGTGATGCTTCGCATAGTGGCGCAGGGGAGGCCAGCTGTGATCATCCCATGGACAGCAACCCCCCATGTGGCGGTACCTGATTTTGACTCATACCCTGTCCCCCAACTGGATTATCCATATTATCCTCTATAAGTAGCTAATCATCCTACTGATTAGCCAGTGACGAGTTGCAAGGTTGGTTTGTCAACCACATTAACTCTAGATATATCTTCTGTCAAAGGGAACGCTGTGTAACTACACGTATATGGGACGCCTTTTGGCTCAAGACCCCATTGCGAAGGTAAAAGAGTGTTTCGCTGCGCGCCATGACAGAGTGAGTCCGGAACTACCCGCACATAAGGTATCAATTGAAACAACTGCCTAGAACAAGGGTAAAATTGTTCACAGGTTATCAGCCGTAGAGCTCACTTCTCCCGCCGGGAGAGTGGTACCTGCGTGCTGGTAGCCGGGCCGTCTGAGCAATTGATTGAGGACGCAAAGGACCAATCAGCTCATCGTCGCAAAGATGCAAGGCGGCAGCGGAGACTCGCGCACCACGCAGTTTACCTTCAATGAGAACGCTGCTATGCCGGTCGAGGAGGTCAATCAATCTTCTCCTGGTGAAACGGCAGACAGTGGCGGAATACGCTCTACCCGAACTACACAGTCCGGATGGCAAGTCACATCAAACAGACGAAGAATATCCACTCAAAGTACACCTAGATCTTCTCGACACAGTGCTCGGAGTGATGTTGTCCGTCAAGGGCATCGACCATCTCGAGGACGAACTACTCCAAGGGATAGATCCACCAGGGCCGTGACCGACCGAATTGGTGAGAGGACCGGGGATAGTCGTGTCAAGAGAAGATCAACAGATACTTCTGTGGCTAGTGAACCTATTGCCATGATAGAGGAACTACGGGCACAATGTCAATCCTTACGTAATCAGCTGAACAACATGGAAGCATACGCTGCATCTAGAGATCAACTGATTCATGACATCGAGATCAGATTCACTGAGTATCTTCGGGAACACAACCAGAAGGTATTTGATGAGGTCAATGCACTCAATAACAGATTATCATGTTCCGCAAATGAGGTCGCAGAATATCAAGCAGAACTAATGGTAGCATCTCAGGAAGACGAAGGTGCAACAATACGCATCCAAGACCTTGAACGCCGAGGTGCCCTAATGGAACATGGTGCACGACGAATCCATCAACGTGGTATGGAGATCCAGGAAGAGTACAAGGATGAAGTACATCACCTTCAAGGACTACTGGGTAATACGGAGGCAAGACTTCAACAACTTCATCAAACCAATGTCTTAACCACCGATATTGCCAATCGACTATACAATGAAGGTCAGGAAATGCAAACAGACTTCCAGAATTCAATCATGGAATATCGTAATCGATCCGAGATGGCATCCTTCTCTAGTAATCAACTTGAAGTGATTAGCCAACAACAATCAATTGCAGTTCATGAATTGTCTGAGCGAAATCAACTATTGAGTGAAGCCTTGGTTCAGTCTCGTAAACAGGCCGAGCTGTATGAGAGCAGTATTGATGAGATCACTAGAGAATCTAGGAAGAAGGTGTTCGAGGCAAATCAGGCCAAGTTGGAAAGTGATCTGAAGCATCGGAACACCGAACATGATACCGTCAGAAGAATTGCATCATACAGGAACCAAGAGGCCGAGGCAATATCACACCTGAGGCTTGAATCACAGGCTAGCACAAACTCGATCGCAAAGGCAGAGCATTATGAGGAGCTCTATGCCAACGAGCAGAAGATGAACTGCGAACTGAAGGATGAGATCAAGTTGCAGAACACGAAGTTACGGAGATCGTTGACTCAGGGTTCTACGACCGACGGTCGTGGCCCCGATGAGATGCTTGTCGAAGATCTGCGTAATCAGGCCAAGATCGCTCAAATCAGGGTTCAGGACCTAGACCATGAAGTTCATGAATGTTTACAAGAGAACCTGTTGTTAAAAGAAAGGTTGACTGAAGTTGCGGATGTAGGGGCGCCGTCCCTCACCAATGCCGAGGTCCGAACTCTAAAATCTGAACTAGAAAATGAGCGCAAAATGAAATTGGCTAGTGGTGTTCAACAGTATGAGAGATCATGCATGTTCATGGGAGAAATCCAGGATAGGGATGAAAAGATCGGTATTAAGAATTCTGAGATTATGGACATGAAGCGTCAAGTAGATGAAATGAGAAAGAGTCTCAAGGATTCTGAAATGTCCATGTCAAGGGTCAACCCTGACATGCTTTCCTATTCTGCAGGCATTCCCAACTACGATCTCGCATCAAGACTAGTCATCGACAAATTGGAGAATGACGTGAGTGAGGCTAACTGTGAAAACGCTATTCTGAAGTCTTGGGTCTCGCAGATCGACAAGGAACTGAACCATGAAACAAATGTAGCTCAGTCCTATCGCGAACATGCTGTACCTCCTCAACGACAACCTTCCCAATCAAACAAAAGAATCACTGATCTGTTGAGAGAAGTCGACAACAGGATCGCTGACGGAACTGAGAGGGACTACTACAAACCACCAAGTGGATGGGGCGGTCCGCCCGACCCCGATGGACCTCCTGACCCTTTCGGGCCCAACGGTCCAGGACCACCTCCTGAACCTCCAGGATTGCCTTCAGTTCGAGGGTCACAACGTGATTCAGCAGATGATGTCTCCACTGCAGCTTACACGGCAGAAGAAGTGCCAAGAATGTCAAGACGGGAGGCTGACAAAGTCTATGTTAGCCCATGGCCGAAACAGCAGAATCTTGGGGTTTGACAATCAGATCTCATCAAGAGTGTTGTTCTTTCTGCCAATGATGGGGACAAAGCCGCATGGGAAGCATGGTTACAACCGGCTATTCGGCCAAATCCCGACATCGAGCTATTGAATGACAGTGGAGGGCAACGATATCAGTCAATCGACGCCAAGTTGTCAATTGCATTGTCGAACGTGATAGCCCAAGCCGGTGATGTTGCTCGTCATGTAGCGATCAAACTGAGATTGAGGACACAAAGTCATAGTCGAAGAGGAACCTATGTCATGGGACGGGAAATCTTGGCTATGATCCTGGAGCACTTCAGAACCCCAGGTCAACGAGAGACAGCCTTCACTATGGAGCACATCGTATCGATGAAGTATCTCGGTGACTCAAACCTGGAAGTGTTCTATGAGAAATGGATGGAGATGGTATCAAACATGATGCCGGATGATGTACCTCCTGATGATTGGCTTCGTGATGCTCTATACAAGAAGATTCGAAATTCGAACCTTATGATGTTTGACATCAAGCAGTACGAGTCATGGATGGAAGGAGACCAGAGACGAAACTATCGCTATCTCTTGGACGTCATCGAAAGACATATCTCCAGAATCAGAGAGGACAAGCATGTAGCCGCTAGAGAAAAGTATGCAAGAGATTTTGCAGGTGGCGGCAAACCTTCGACTCCTGCACCAAATCCGACTGCTGCTGCACCGGATGCGAACCCAAAAGCTAAGCCTAAGGCTGCTCCCAAGGAGAAGGCAGCACCCAAGGCGAAGGCCAAGGCCGATGCAGCTCCGGTTCTACCATCTCCTCAGCCTAAGCAGCATGCGAAAGGGAAAGGAAAAGGTCAAGGGAAAGGAAAGGATCGAGCAAACAGCCGGAGTGCCAGTCCGAGATCCAAGAAGAAAATCCCATGCCATTTCCATTTCATCAAGAAAGCATGCAGAAAGGGCAAAGATTGCGAATACAGTCACGACCAAAAGGTGTTCGATGCAAACAAGAATGCAAAAGGCAACGGTCGAAAGCCAGGAACTCCAAGAAGTCAATCTCCTGCAAACAAAACCAAGAAGATTGATGAGCCATGCTGGCACTGGGCCAAGGGCAAGTGTCGGTATGGAGACAAATGCAACAAACGCCACGATCCTCATCTATTCAACACTGCTCCAAACACTGAGGCACCAAGCTCAAAGGCTACACCTGCACTTATCCATGATTGGAGTGATGATGAGGGGATGTTCCACAAGGTTGCATCGAACGTGATCAAGAAGAAGGTCAGATTCGATGAGTCTAAGAATACCGTTCAAACTTACGTGAAGAAGGACTTCGTGAAGTGCAGCCGGAAATCCCAAACTACTCCCAAAGGTCATGGTAAAGTTGGTAAGCCCACTGATCAGGTAAGGAAAGATGAGCAATGGTCTTATTCATGCAGGTTAGCTTCGAGCCGAGGGAAAGCAATGGCTATTCTGATCGATGAGAAGGGTGAATACAGTGACATTGATGAAGTCCTGGTCATCGTCGGCCCTAGCATGGACATTCTGATCAGACTCGACATTGAGGACGATGAGGTGTCCAGGGAAGTTTTTGTGGAGAACTATGTTCAGCATATTGAAGGTCGATATGGTAAAAGGGGCAACACAATGTGTATCACTGTTCCTGTTGAGGAGAGAGATAAGAGATTCATATTAGATTCTGGAAGTGGTCATGATCTCATTTCATCCACACGAATAAGTAGAATGGATCTCCCAACATATGATGACAAGGTCGTCAACTTCCATACAGCAAATGGGGTGACATGTTCGACTAAACGCTCAAGCATCAAGTTCGAGGCATTCAGTGAACCAGCAGAAGCCCACATCCTGGAGGACACACCCTCTGTGCTCTCCATGGGAAAGCGATGCGTCGATCTTGGTTACTCATTTGTGTGGCCGACTGGAAGAACCCCATTCATGTTGGATCCAAATGGCAACATCATCGAGATGACCGTCAAAGACTATATCCCCTATGTGAGCGTCGATCAAGAGAAGAGAAAGTTGAGATCATCATGTGTGGAAAAGATTATGGCAGTTCTTGATGACGGATGCTCAACGTCAGAAGGAGAAGGTCTTTTGGTCATTGATGGAGAAAGTGGAGATGAGCTGGAGGATCTTTCCGACTCCGTTGGAGGATCCGATGTTAAGTCACCCAAAAGATCAATGAAGAATCGTAAGAAAACAAAATCAAGACGTGATCAACATGAAGTTGCTGTTGGAAGTGATGCAGGTGACGATGAAGAAATGTCAGGCTATGACGATGAATATGCCG